TTCGACGGCTTAAAATCCTGTAAAATTACTTCACCTTTTGGAATTTATTCAGTAAATGATCTACTTTAATTTAACATCGTCAGCTTATGTTACCCTGTGTTAAGAGTTGCTAGGCTCAAACTCAGAAAGGGCATTTGGTTAAGCGTGGTGCATACTTTTGGGCATAAACAATCACTTCCAGCACCGTGTTTTCGAATGATTGACGTGCTTACAGAATTTCTACTTCTTAGTTGTATATTAACTCTTAACTGCGTTTCACTGGCCATTCTTCGATAATCCGCAGTCAAATCAATACCTATTAAAATACATTAACAAAACTCTAAAAAAAAAAAGCCAACAAGAACGACAATAATAAAAGCAGCAATAACGTTGACTCTTTGATAAATTATTCTATAGAGAAGGTAGGCAGCTGAATTTGCCAGACAACTAACCGACAGTCAATCCCAGCCCGAGCTCCATTATTACCATAAACATAAAAGGCGTGGCCCCCCGGTCCAACCGCCTGCTGGCTCCTCTTAACCCGAACTTTTACCGGTTGCCTGTCTGCTCTCTGCCTGTCGCTAAGCTATTGGAAAGTTAAGTCGCGTAATCGATTGATTTGCCGGGCACTTCTTTTCAAGGTGCGTCTAGGGGTATAAAGTTTTTGCCTCTGCCTGGGCCTCTTTGTCCCCTGCAACCGGCCCCGCTTCAGGCCCTGCCAACGCCCCATTGTCGTCCTTTCGTCTTTGTACTGAAATTGAGATTTATTGCAAAATTTGAATTATAATGCAATTTATAATGTATAATAGCAGACAAGAGACGAAATAGCAGCAGCCGCCTCTGAGATATTGAGCATCATAATGATGATGAAGCTGTGCGTTGTCGGCAAGGGTTCAACAGGAAGGAGGTGAAGCAGGGCGTGCTCTTTGTTGCGAATATTGTTGATTCAATTTGACTACTGGAGTCGAAGCGATCGTACAAAAGACGTTGAAAGTCGTTTATTTTATGAAGTCTTTTTCTAACAAGCACTTGGAATTAATTTTGCCACTATTTACTATTTGCATGTTTATCAAAGTGGACTCCTGAGAGAGCTGTATAACGCTTAATAATATACAGATATCAAAAAACATCGACTTGCTTTTAATCTAACTAATATTTGTTTAAAGCCTCAGCGCAACTCAAAAATCTAGGTTTAAACACCGATTTCCCGTAGGAAATTGCAAATTTTAAAACATTTTGCCGGTAACAACAAGAGTAAGGCAAAGTTCTTGGCTCATAAAAACAAAATGCAAAAACAACTTCGAAATTTGGAAGTTGAAGTTTATGTTGATGTTGCTCCCGTTCCCAATTGCAGCTTTTCGGTCCTACATTCGATATGTAATTTTGATTGAAATATGCCTGTTTACGATATACAAGAAAACACAAGCACTGAGCAGGAGAGCAATAAAACAAGTGAGAGAAATGCCTGTGCTTTCAAATGAGTAACTTTTTATACCCTGAACCCATTGAAAATGGTTTAAAGGGGTATAATGATTTTATGCAAATGCATGTAACAGTCAGAAGGAGGCAGAAATAGATTAGAATAATAGAGTCGATCCAGCTTTGTCCCTCTGTCAGTATGCATGAATGCGTCGCTCTCGTAGACATCAATAGCTAGAGAGCGTCGGTCAGAGTATAGCCTAAGAGCCGTACGCATTTTTTCGCCAATAATCGATAACTTATCCCGTTCCATTAAATCGTCAGAAATCGATATCAAAGTCCTGGCGAAAGACCATATTTCGAAACTTATAAGAGCTAGAGGCAACATTTTGCTACGTAGACTCTCAAATATGACACACAGATACTTGGATACTTTCCCTGATGCCCCAATATAAAGGTATAGATTCGGGTTTTGGTATTTACACTCATTGGGATGCCATATTTATGCTAGGAACATTTTAGAAAGATCGGACAATGAACACCGAAGTTTATCAGGAAAGCATTTTCCATACCTAGTGCCTGTAAAGAAAAGAAGAAGTAATGGGCTTGCGTCTACCTGTCTATGGATATATAGAAGCAAGCTAGAATGATGGCAGCTCGGCACAGTGTCAGGGTATTTTCTAGTCGTGTACTCCCCACTAAAACCCTCTTGTTAGTTTTCCTTATGCCTGAATGCAGCACTCAGAGAAAAAGTAAACTACTTCAGAATGTTTCGATTCTTTGGGAAAGTTTTTGCAAAATGAATTTTAATTGTTTGAATATGTGGATAAATTAAATTTGTTCTTTACATTTGAACTATACCTATAATTTGTTACAGTGCAACGCTGTGTAGTGAAGGCTGTGCGTATTTCAGACAGGCCGTCACTCCAACTGAAGGCAGCAGCCAGGCGACCAAACTTCCAGCCGAGAGCCTATGCTGCGTATTTGCTAAGCCTTGTCGTACCCTATATACGGGCCTATACACGGGCCGAGCTTCAGCCCTCGACTGTGTGTGTGCGTGTCCTTTTGCTTGTAAAGCAATATTTCAATCAAAACAAGAAATAAATTACAGGCTTCACGAGCAGATAGCGCAGGCACGAGCAGGGCAGCAGCGAACTAATGCAAAACTAAAGTGAGAGCTGCAGAGACAGCACATGGCAGACAGGGTCGGGAAGTACGTAGGCCTGGATGATGTTTTGGGGGGTTACATACCAGGCGAATGCAGTCAAAAACAGGACGGGCGAAAAAGTTGCCGCAACTCTTTTACGTGCAAGCATAAGAAAGCTAGATGTAGAGTTCAAGTAAAAGTAAGTACATAACTATTTCGTAAACACGCATACACTCACACCCATAGACACTAACATGCAACCCTCGAAAGTTGCAAGTTGGCAAGTGAAGTGTTACGTAGGTGAAGCACAGGTTGCAACAAGACCAGAAATGCCTAGAAACAAAAGCGAGTCTGACAGCAGGCGGCAGTTGCAGGCAACACAAAGTGTCAGTCGCTTTTTAAATGTGATGGAAGGGTAAACTTAATTTTTTAAGCAAGCAAGAAGTAGTCGTGTGCAAGGCTCTGTTTATAGGGTATATTTGGCGGCTCAAGATCACAAACTGTGTATCAAATGTGTGTACTCTGAATGCTTTGCAGTTGTGTTAACTAGTTTGCCTGGTTTATCCCTCCTTCCACGAACATATCCCGCTTGCAGAGTTCTCTTAATAAATGGACGTAATCATCTTTTTAGCACTCAAATAATATATTCCGTTTACATACTTATCAAGGTATATATATTGCCGTTGTTAATGTAAATGGATAGCAAATAATTTATTTTAATAAGCAAAGTGGGCTGCATCGACAGGGGATCCGGTCAGAGTGAACGGGTGTAATCCGTATTGAAATATCATTTAATTCAGTTATGTTCAACTATGGACTCTTTTTCCTTGAGGCTGACTTGTTAATGATTTGGAAAAATATTCGCTCAGGCATAAAGACCAATGCAAAAGCCAATATAACAGGCCACAAGCATTGCGGCTGCTAACAAAGAGTTGCCTGCTGTGTGTTGCAAGCCAAAAGTTATATTTTCATTATGTCTTTCCCTGGGCATAATCACAGTCTTTAATTTCGGTTCAGTCAACTGAATCACAACTAAAAGTGGATTGCTTACGTATAATTTTCATATTTAAATAATGTTTCTGCAATATGTAAATGGCTTTAATATAAGTTTATTTGCTCTCCTTAAATGGTAAAAGCGTTAATTTAAGTTGTTTGCTTGCTCAATGAGCGTCATCAGACGTGTTGATCTAGGCGCGATCGTCTACTTTTTGTTTTTCTAGATTTAGGGACAGCCACAAGCACAAGCCAATCATTTTATTATAATTCATAAAACGTGTAGATGAGACACAAAAGCGTCTGACATGTGACAGCTCGTAGCCCAGCAGCCCAACTGCCGAGCAGCGCCCTGCCTTCCGTGTTCTGTGCCGGGCAAATGAAGTCGAAAAAACCAAACTTTTTATCAAGTCAATATTTTACGTTGACTGCAAACCACAACAGCAACTGCGACGATGATGATGACGGCGACTGCGATGCTGACAGTCTTGCAGACAGGCCAGTCAGTGGCATGGCCAAGAAAAGTGCAGAAAGTTGTGCCTTGCTTTCTCATCTCCTAATGGTGTTATCGACGACGTCATCGTTGTCCTGGCCCAGACCAGACGGCGGCATTAACCTTTGCTGCCATATTTTTGCGCTGGCTGCTGTGCCTTTTCAACATTTTATTCAATTTCTGGGCTTCTAAGTAAGTCCCGATTGCAGTTCAATAAGCTGGCCAAGGACTCAAGACCAAGGATTAGAGCACTGGGAATTGGTTTCCCCATGTATCAAATTATTATTCATTGCAGCCAGAGCGCACGTAAATTATGTAGCAACCGTCTATTGTCAAATCGATTAACCTTTTAAGCTAACAAGACTTCTGTTGTATGTTGCTTGAAATAAAATGTATTTCATTTGCCAACAGCCCCAGAAGGCTGCTGCTGGTCTGCTAGAACTGCAGCTGACGTCTTTGTTCAGTTGGTTGCATTGCCTGAATGCCTGTCAGGTGTTCAGTGACCAGCTTCCAACCAACGAGTTACTCACTGCCCTTCAGGGTCCTTCTTGTCAGCTGAGGTGTTGGACTGCTTTGCGACGCACCTGTTAACTTGTGGAGAAAGTCAAACTATTCGCTTGCTCGCTCCTGTTCATCGTAAAATCGCAGCAAGAACGTTTTTCTCTACTTCAGTTCTGGATTGAGGTTGAGGAGGGTTTGGATGTTAGCCGCATTGAACGTGCCTTACAACTCACAACAGCCACCTGTAACGAAAACATATCAAAGGTGCCTATAGTCGCTCGCGAATGGATTGGTTTTCTTCATATTTCAGCTTTCTTTTACGTGGCCGTAAATATTTAAATATAAATCTTTGGGTATAATTTTAGACTTTAATTGATTTGATATTAGAAATAGAGAGCTTTTCTTATCCTAAATTTTATTCTGTGAATATCGGAAGAGCACAATACTCCTAATTAGGGATTTCATACAAGGGGTGACACTAAAAGCCCACTTTAGAAGGACGTGTGCTGGCCAATCAAGACGTGCTGTGCACATAGAAAGTCGAAATCAATTAGACAATATGGACAAATGTCTGAGATAGAAGCTACAAATAAAACATTTCGTTAACAAAAGACACGTAGCCTAAGCAACAGCAGACGGGGCGGATAAGAGTCAATACACATAACGTATACGTATACGTATATGAAATCGTTACAAAAGTAGCGTGCCCTGAAAGCGACGAGCTCTGACAAACGAATCAAATCTCGGGGCACACGTAGACAAGCAAAAACAGGCAAGAGTGGGGCCAGCACGCCAACACAAACTATTCAGAGCGAACGATGGTAGGGCATCAAATATTTCCATTAGTTAAATAAATAATCAACAGCGAAATGAATGATTGAGCAGGTCCATGGGCTCAGAGAAGACTTTAATTTCTCTGTCACGAGCAGGCGACGCAGATACACACTCCATGCGATTGCCACACGGCACACCTGACAAAGGTCATCAGAGATCGGCTGCGGCATTGGCGTCGACGCTGCGTACATAAACCAAATGCATACCAAAAACCAACACGCCTGCAATCCGTGTGAGGGCTCAAAAGATGTCACTCGTTGCTGTCCATGTGAATATTACATGAGTATCTCGGCGTCCCCAGGCAGCGGCAGGCAGAGCCACATATTGACCCATTTCAACATCGTCAAACAATCCCCCAAGTGCACAACCAAGCGTTGAGCCCAGCACGGAGAAGAGCACACCACGCGAGACCAGACAGACGGGCGGGCGGGCAGGCGGCCTGCCAGCCAGCCTATCCACATGGACAAGCGCGTTACTTCTTTCGCTTAATAAACCCAAATGCCACCAAAATCAAAAGGAAATGCCACTTACGCCTAATGGCATCACGAAGCTCTGTGGCTGACAGCTGAATCGCCCGAAACAAAACCGACAACCTTCTCGCACAAACACTACCTGACAACGGCGACAACAAAAGCAACAACTACAACATACGAGAGACTATGTCGTCGTGGAGTAATTGGTTATTCGTATACCCTGTACTCATTAAAAACGGATAGAAAAGAGTTGAATAGTTTTGTAGAAGTATATGTAACAGACAGAGGGAGGCATCATCATCCGCTCAGTCGATCTTGGGGTGTCCATACGTCCATTCGCCTATCCGCCTGTTTATCTGTCCAAATATAGGAGTACATCTCGGATACGCAAACAACTAGAGACGTGACATCTTAGACATATATTCTGGGATATCATATGCACGTCTCCACTCCTTATATTCAAGGATATTTCTTAACTCCTGCGATAATTTCCGTTACTCTAGCCATCTCATCCTATAGACACTTTTTGAAAACTACTCAAAACCTTCTTTGAATGTGTTACTGTGATAAATAAGTAAGATGGAAACTGGTCTAATAAGGCTCTGCTCTTCCGAGTGACCAATTGATGTGCAGGCGCTTAAACCCACCAAACACAACATCGAGAGTGGCGAACAAAATACTAAAATAAAGCAATTAAATTTTATTAAAATCCATATATTTCTCGCTCACTCTAGAGTGTGACGCAGAGAGAATGCTGCGGGGTCAACTTGGTCAACCAACGTTCCAATTCAAAGTGAAGCATCCAAGCTGTGCATCCATGGCAACAGCGACTGCAGCAGCAACCGCAATCAAACCAAGCCAAACCCTTTCACGCTATATTATGAAAACGCACCCAAATATGCTCGTAACACCCAGTGGAAAGCTCATAGGTCGCTTCCCATTTTTGAATCGAAGCCATATGACTCCAAGAAGGACATATTGCATGTGTGCAGTGGTTGGTTTTTGGTCTCTGAGTGATGCAGGGTATTTTGCCGGCAACGTTGTGCTGGTTAAATGCTCAAAGAGCAATTCAAAAATTGTGTTTAATTAGAAGGTTGACCGGGGTTGTCCTCAGACAAATTAATTATTGCATAGATTTTAAAAAATCATATCGCAGAACTTTAATTCATTTTATGTTTGCTTTCCAAGTCTTGATCGAGCAGGTAAGATAAATCGTAGCAGTCGGGGGTAACCAAAAGCGCTATACTTTGTTTTCTATAGTAAACCTTTTATAAACTGAACATTGATAAATGGTATAAGGGGTACAGTGGATTTGTACAAATGTACATAATAGGCTGAAAGAATAATCTGCCAACGCATGTGCCCGTCGAGTTAGTTTCATATCATCGATAATTACTGCCGTTTCCATTGAATCGATAGAAATATATAACGACACCCTACTCAGTTCAGAAGGAATAATTATTTTTTACATTTTTATTAAATTAAAAAATAGTTATATCCTCATACCCCATAATAGGTAAGAGAGAGTGTACATGATAGCGAGGTGTATCTATTTACTGTTTGAGCATCTTGTATCTTCCATATATTGTAGTGAAATGTATTTTGAATTGTTGTAAAGTCAGCATACTGATCCACCGCCTTAGCAACGGCTTGAAAAATTGTTTGACATAATTCAGGACACTGTGTCGCGGTCCTTGCCGGCAGCAATCAAAAGCGCATTTTCAACCTACCCGATGCAGGTCCCAGGACAATGGACAGATGCTCATTAGGGCTGAAGCGTTTTCCCAGGCGCCTGAAGCAATTCAGAGCTGGAGAAGGCCGAAGGGCTCAACAGACTCGCAGCTTTTGTATTTTTAATGCTTAAAACAAATAATTGCAGATAAATGGGTGTTCATTGGAGAACACAATGACATGCATTGACATTGGCATCTTCATCATCTTTATCACCCAGCGCAATGTTAAAATTTAAATTATAAAATGTAAAATTGCAGTCCACTCAAGTGCAGCGAAAATCATATTAATAAAAATAATGAGTTGCTGCTGCAGAGAAACAGCAGCTCGAAACCCGATTAAAAATTGAATTGCTCTGCGACGATTGTTAAGTAGAAATGTCAATTTGACAGCTGCTGCTGCTGCTGCTGCTACTGCTGGTGCTGCTGGTGCTGCTGCTGCTGCTGCTGCTGCTGGGGCCAGGGTGGAAAGATTTCGTCGTGGCGATGATGCGACCCTTGCATTTGATGACTTCAACTCAATGTCAACTGAATTTTCATGATATGTCAGTATTTCATTTAATTCAACTCCATTTGCTTGCAAATGCATCAAAAGCCTCGTGAGAACCGGTAGAGAGCTGCTCGGCTTGCGTGTTCTTGCTTTGCATATTTGACGGTGTGTTTTAAAGGCATAGAGAAAAAATGTATTGTTATTTCTTTTCCGTATTAAATCTAAAGCTCTTCCGTAGGTATTTACTTTTCATACTCATATATGTACTATATATCTTATATTCCGTTAACATGAGAATATATACCAATCTGCAAGAGTTTAACTTATATAGAGCCCTAATAGTGCTTTCATACGGACATACACATGTACAGCAAGACGAACCTTGCACAAAACCGAATGAAGAATATATATATTCTTGGGCAGCACCATTTAGCGAAACGATATAGCTTCTTCCATTAGACCTGCACTAAGGAAAATGCCTTTTTAAATGTGCATGACTTAAATTTAGCATCCGAATGTATGCCTACTGCAAAGCACAATGCTTTTTCTTTTAAATTTCTATTTTTGAGTTACGGTGATTTATCATAAAAAAACAATTTGATTTATACCGACGAACATTTGAAAGTAAAATTTGAAAAGCGTAAAGATAGCGAAGTCACCATTGTTGACATCGCAGCGTCAGGAGCTGCTGCCACTCCTTCATGCAGCACATGTCTCCAGAAATTTATGGCCGCGGATTACAAGCAACAAAGCAAATTATTTTCTAATTTCTTCTAATCACGCGCTCGTCTGCTCACTGGATAACCAACCCGACGGCTCGAATTGATGCAGTCAAGCTTGCGGGCGGTGCTTTGATCAGTCTGTGTTGTCGCTTGTCGTAAGGCGCCATCGTCGGTTCGGCACAATCAAAATACATTTGACATTGATTAGTTTTCCAAGAATTTTTAACACACATTTCACGTAAGCTGGGGGCATATGGACTCAGGGTGGGGCCGTGGCCTGTGAAATGTGAAATGTGGGCTCCGAACGACAGCAATCAGGCAGTCCATTAGACGGGCGTGTTTATTTTTACGCTTCATTTAAACATTTCATGCAATTTCTTAATATCAATTTCCCCTAATTTTTGGTCTTCACTTTGGAAACACGCAATGCATTTCGTAGCTGGTTCATCGGTTGTCGCCTTTGTCCTGCGAAATTTTGACAAACGCTCACAAATAGTTTGCTATATATTATTATTTCTTGTCATTCCTCTATGATATTTAAACACCCTGTTGTCATATTAAAGGCTCATAAAGTAGGTATATCAGTTATGTTAAAATGTATGTAACGGGCAGTAGGAAGCATCTCTGACCGCCCCATGTCCATAACATCGTTAAATGTTTCTCGATATAGGACAAAAAAGCAGCAAATATTTTACGACACTGGCTTGACACTGGCTACAGAGTATCTCCAGGTCGTGTATCCCTTAAACACTTTTACTGGTATACTTTGGTGCTATTCGCCTTTGTTATGGCACGTGGGTTCGAAACATTCTGGGACTTGGATTTGATTGGAGTGCAGATTGGGTGCGTCCTCTTTTGGTTGGCGTGTTGTTAAAACGACAAACTAAATTATTGACCGGCTTCTGAGCTACGGGTTTATTAAATTGACTTACCTGCTTTTTTTTTTCTTATATACCCTGTTGCCATTCAAAATGGGTAAAACACGAAAAGACTTTGGTTTTGTTTAGATATAATTCAAATCGAGCCTCTAAATTCAACATGTGAGTTCTCGGATTAGGAATGTTTCTCTTTTTCAATAACTTCCTATTTCTTACCCCAAAATTGAAAAGCTATCTGCCCAATGTATGCCCTTTCACTTTTGTGTGCCCACATTTAAAATCGAATCGTTCCAAACTTAACAAAGTTGTGCAAGTTTGAAATGCCCAGCTATGGTAGGTAATTAGTATTTACGATGCATGAAGGCTTACTCTTTGTTTCCACATGTATTTGGCATCGGTTTCATCAGCAAAGTGATGCTAGTGAGAGCGAATATAGCACGGTGAGATTAACGTTTTGTTCGAGAAATCTGTCAATAGCAGAGTACAGAGGCCGCTAAGAACCCTGTCTGGGCACAAAGAGAGCGCCACGAGCGTCAGCTGTAAATCATGTGACACATATTAAAATTAAAATAAGCTTCGTCACCGTGTTACGACCGTGTGTATTAGCCCCCGTAAAAGCCACATCAATATATGCCGAGGTAGCAACGAGTGTTGCCACCGGCAAAGTGCGTGTAGCCAGCGAGAAACTGCACATGATTTGGCTTTCAATAGTTGCAGAAGGGTTTACATTGGCACGAAATGTCAAACTCTGGATGGTTACTGGTTTTCAATTTTCTTTTATTTTTCTCACATTTTTCTGACTTAATTCAATTTTGCCTTTCATGTGCAGTACACCTGGATTCAGGGAAGGATATGCTCCATTGTTGTCGCTCCATTGTCGCAATAGAATCAATTCATTTTGTGAATATAACCTTGTTTCCAAATAACGAATCATATTTGTGGTTATTTAAAAGTAGGGTTTATCTGATTCCATATGAAGCATATTATTTTCAGTAGAAGGAGAATGGCCACTAAGACTCAATTGAAAGTAAATTCAATCTTATTCCATATATGAGTATATGCTTTTGTTCATTTATATTAACTGCATACTCGCTTTTAATGATGCAATCCTTTCTATTTTTAGTGGAACCAACCACAGATCTCTTGTTGCCCTTTATCTGTAATCTGTGGACGTGAGATGAATCAAAATAAGTTAGTTGCGATCTTTTAATTTATACGTACATGAAAGATTATACGTATAGCTGGCAGACTCTTCTATGTATATGGAGCATCTCGATTCCGATTTCTTATCGAAAGATTTCACATAGCAGGCTTTATTTTAACCTAAGGTTATTTGAAGTCTGTCGAAATGTAATCGTCATCCAAATGCTAAAAGGGCCTCATAATGGCTATTGCCGTGATAAGCAGTAGCCACCACTTAGCTGTTTTTAATCTACCCGTACATGGAGCATCTGCATATTGTAAAATAGATTGGTCTATGGCGCGATATCCGAAATTCTTTGCACTCATGCAATTATCTCGGAGTGCCGCCGTATAAGTCAAGGGACTGTCGTAGCAGAACATCCTAGAGAGCGCCAATTTAAATTGGTCTTGTGAATCGCATTCGAAGTTGTTAGAGTCTAGCACTCGAAGAGTGCTACAGTTCATGATTGGCGAGTAGTACATTGTAACGAAAACAAATAGCATTAAATGGTTTGGCGCAAAGATTGCATACGGAATATCGGTGTCTGCATATCCGTCCGGATACCTGAGTTTCAGTTGTTTCGTTAGCTGGCCAGTGCACTGCATCTCGAGGCGCATTCCAAAGTAGCGAGAGCAATTCCCAAATGAGCCACGAATAGCCACAGAATAATGCAGGCTACTTAGCAATATCACCTGCAAAAATTTTGAAGCCTTTATAAACATGCTACGTACGTATAGATTTAAAATTGAATGGAAATTAAAAGTTAACTTGCCAAAATATATTCACGGGCTGAGAGAAAATATATTTTAGATACAAATTAAAAGTTCTTTAACCCAGGTAAATTCAGTCTCAATAAAATGTATGGTACATAGAAAGACATCGATCCGTTAATACAGTCATATGGACAAGCAGACTCCATCAACTTGGTTATTGATCATCGTGAGTTTAGAGATATATTATTCTCCCTGTTACATACAATTGCATAAAGGCTCTATACACATTTGGATTCTGTAATAGGAACATCTTTTGTCGTTGCAATTTAAACTTTTTAAGAATAATTGCTTGAAAGTCTTTCCGGCTCATTCAAAATGTTGCCTTCCGCTTCAACTAGCACTGAAGTGCCAAGAACTACGACATATTTTTCAGCTATTTGCTATAAAGTGGCATTAGTTGTTGATATGAGCAGCATTATGAGCTATTAAATATGGCTATGCTTTGATTCTCGAGAAATTTGGTTATGCCAATCCCAGAAACCAAAAGGTCTGTCGTTCTTCTCTTAGCTTCTTACTATGTAAAGTGCGTTCTTGCATAATAGTTCCATATTAGATAAGCTGAAATCTAACTTATATCTAAAGCTGAATGTCAGATTTATAATTGTCAGTTTTATTCCAGCAAGCTAGTAAATCAAAATTCCAAATTTACAATGAAAAGCGAGATTTTAAAGTTGCTACTATTGAGTATGCTGCAGAGCCAATTAAAAGGAGATTTTCAACATGACAACAGTTTGACACCACCGTATAACACGGGAAACTGTTCTTCATATAATGATGTCACATTTACCAAAATTTGCAAAAATACCATAACAAAGAGTCTGGCTAGGCAATGGAAAGATCTTAGAGCACCAGGGGGTACTCCATACACAGTGTGGCAAACCTCAGAAACTGGAAAGCTTGTTTTATTGGTGTCATTTCACAAATCGCCCCTCTTCGACTGTAACTTGATGGTGTTAAAGATGAAGGGGGGCGACTACACACTCACTGCTAAAACTTTACACTCCGCAAAAAGCTTTTACGTTTATCAGTCTGATTTGAAACACTCAGATATACACTGCCTCAGTGAAGATATGTACTATCCATCAGCTTTACGCGCTCATTGCATGAACAGGGACGGTCAGAATTTTGAGGAGGCCAACACACCAATACTGCATTACAGTCGCTACGATTATCAAGTTAATATTGGGGATGTGCCTATTATACCGGATAAGTTGGTTCTTATGTCAGCTGTTCTTCTTATATCAGTTTAAATGCATTTAGTGAGTTTATAATCAAGTATAAACGTATCGAAATAGCCAATAAAGTTTATAAAACTGCAAATTTCATCGGTACCTAGTGATGCTTTGATACTTGCTATATTCCATTAACAGAGGAGGAATATCGGATGAACGATCGGCTCAAATATAATTTTTCTTTTTGTAATTGTTTTGAAAATCAACTGAATTGGGTTTTTATTAATATTTGTTGTTCGGCAAAATGGATAAACCTTCAGCCACACTCGAATTGAAAGCAATTAAAGAGAGCTCGAGGCGAGAATGCCCGACTAGCAGATACCCCGAATCCAATACGACCACACAATCATCTGAATTGCCTTCACATATTCTCTAAAACTGAAAAACCCGCCACTTGCTTCTCACTTTATGGAGATGAAGTACTTTTCTATGGGAAATGCCTTCTTATTCGAGGGCTTCGGTGCTTATAGCCCGATCCTTATACAATCTTTAAAGCATGCGAATTCAGGTAAAAACGCAGACAGTTCTACAACTAGACAAGGGGCTTGTCAATTTTGGGGAATATGGAAATAACTCCAAAAATCATGATCTCTGTATACCAAACGAGAAGTTTACATTTCGTTTAATGCTTAAAAAATTGTAAATAATATATTTGAAAGAAAAGTAGAAACCAGGAACCTATCTTTAGTTCCACTTCCTAAGTTTCTTTCTACACGTCAGAAATGAGTTTTAACAAAGATCCTTGGAAATGAATTTGAGCCCGAAACTTCAATCATATTTTTTGCTGCATATCATAAAAGGAACATGCAAATTGTGAGTGAACCTGCGTTCTAAATTGGTTCCAAAATTCATACAGAATTTTAACTTGCCTCTGCAAAGAGCTGTCAACCACGGAAACGCACAGTTTAATAGGGTTAGGTTAAGTTAAAGAAAGCTTGGCGACTAAATTTCAAAAACTGTGTTCAGAATTTGCTTGAAAAATTTAGCTATCTTCGTCAACTGAAAAAATGTAGAGGAACCTGATCAATTACAGATGCTAAACACACTATTCGGACTGTAGCAGTGACTAGTTATCCTTGATATTGCCTCAATATGCTTAACATAATGAAATTGAAATCAAATCACTTTTATTACCATAATTGATAAAGGGTAAGAAGGAGGTGTTTTTATACCCTGAAACCATTAAATTAAATAAAACATTGTATGTGTATGTAATAGACAGAAGGCTTGTTCGTTTCTCTGATAATATGAAAAATATTCGTTAAGGTCGCTCGCAGAACAAGTATTTCTTATTGGATAAATCCTTCTTACATTTTTTCGATAAGTATTGATTTTAAATAAAGCTACTTGGGCGTAATTTGGAAATATATGTATATGTATAGAAGGCAGTGGCAATGTATGTGACGGTGGTCGGCGCTGGCCGTAGGGTATCTTTTAGTCGGGCACTGCCGACTAGAGCAGTTTTATTTGTTTACATTGATTTTGGTGTCTTATTATTGAAAAAATTGTCAAAAATGCCTTCAGAATTATTTTCTGGAATATTGTAGGCCATGCCAGTAAGTCCCCATTGCGCAGGAGCTTACAATTTCAATTTGGTTGCTTGCTGGCTGCTGCTACTCCTTTATCCCGCGAAAACATATTCGGTAGGCTTGAACAACTGCTCCTTCATAGACGGTAAAATAATGGAGTTCGTGTGTCATGGATCGTATGAGCGATACCTCCGGCTGCGTTATAAGGATCGCCATCCCGCCTTACAAACGCCCTATTCCATCTGGCAGCGGGCTGATCATTTTGGAGCCTCAATGCTGCTCATCGTTTTCTACGAGGGTCCGTTAACTAGCTGCTACAATATTGTGCTAAATGAGGGCAAGATCTACTGTAATGGTCGAAACTATCCTTTGGAGATTGAGCATTCCGTCCTAATGTTTTGTATGCCCTTTCAATTTTCCTACGCCGACGAACTGCACAAAAGGTGCAAAACAGGTAAAAAGATGCTTTTGACAACAACCATTTCTTCAGTCATCATCTACATGGAGTCAAATATAATAGTTGGTTCAAGATCTTCCAAGTCTCCGTATTGTTCGAATCTTCTTGTTATAATTGTTTTGCTTTTACGATTTAAAATTAAAATAAAATGAATAAATTCAGTTTGGAAAGAATAAAAACAAACAGATCCTGCGCTTACATGACTGCAATGTGTTTGGCGCGATCTTGTATTTGGGGAGAGATTTGGGGAGCTGCGTGGACTACCTGCCAGATTTGTGTTCTCTATATCTAAAATTATGTTCATCGGCATGGCCAACGAATATTTTGATATTTTCCTTTCATTACGTAAACCCATTATAGACAAGCTACACTGCGCTAGCCTGGAGTGGCCGAGTACGATATACCCTGAATCCTGCATAAGGCCATCTATACATAAAATTTTCTTTCCATATATTAAAATTCAAAAACACATTACACATACACATATTTGCTGTTTGTGCATTGTCTTAGCTTCTTCTCTTAGCCTCACACTATGCAAATGCATTTTGTTATACTACTTTGAACTCATTAACGAAGGGTAAAATTGCTTTGATGCTTAAAATATATAAAATAGGCAGAAGATTCTCCGACCCTGTAAAGCATTATACATTCCTGTTCAGCAACAATAATCCAGTCGAGCGAGATTAAAATTTTCACGTCAATCTAAATTGATCGTTATCTTTGAGAAATGTAGTTTTTTTTTTTCAATTCATTTATTTTGTGTAATGGCTGAAATGTTAGCATGGTGTTTAGGTAGGCTGATGATGGCGACAGTTCTGTATTTTTAGTAATTTAAGTTATAACCCTGTACTATTAAATAAGTATGTTTATTGGCTACGATTCCTTTCCTTTTGGTAGAAGGTTCAGGGAATCTTCTAGCCTTCACACTTCCTGGACCCTCTAGATCACCTTCAGACAGATGAGGAGCGTCCCAGTTGAACTACTCTTTGTCAAATATCCCTTTCATTTTCACATTCAAACAACAGTTTTAAAAATACTTTCACTATTACTGGCTTATCCAGTAGCGGATCTAATCTATTGAATTCTTGCAAATAGAAGCTATTAAATGATTTTTTACACAATAATTTTATTTTTAAACAGAAAATTGTTCAACATACTCATTTGAGTAAATTTTGAAGCACGCGTTGATAGATTTGAAGAGGTCGACGCTTTCCCAAAATTTGAAGGGCCCCATAGATGGCATAGCCGCGAAAATCAAATGTAGCCTTTATGTCTGCGTCATGTACTCCCCGATCGCACTTTTTAACTATATAGAGCAGAACAAACATGGAGCAAACCGACATTTTTTTCAAAATAGAACGCGTCATTTCGAATTTTGTAGAATGACATATATCGCAGAACTTCATACTATTTGAATCGGATCGAGAGCTACAATCTAGGGAAAAACTAAACTATTTGTCTGGTAAGTTTTACCTATAAAAAAAAGTTTTCTTTTCAATAATGCCTCCATTGCCTTGGGATGTACCACAAGAATTATACTTCCTTGATAGCCCCTCGCGTCAAATATCTGAAAAACAAAAACAAAAGTTAGATGGTTGATTTTCGAATGCTTATGTATTTGAATACCATGATTTTTTTTTAATAATATATAATATAATATAATTATGTAAACAAGCCTGTCGCAATGACCACTCGTGTTAGATCTTCATTAGAGTCATATATTTGACTGGATTGTTCAATAAAAGGTTTGATAGATTCTGCGCAGG